CAGTTATCGATAAAAGTGAAGGTATTTTGAAAATTGTGAAATCATGGTACTGTTTTGGCATTATACGACTTGCAGTTCCCTTTTGACTGGCCGTGGTGTCTGTAAACTTATCGAACTATAGTATTATGTAAATCTGCCCATGGAAATCTGCAAGCAAAGTTTTAAATTCCCATTTTCACGCTGTGTCATAACGTGGAGTCGTCATCTAAGTACAAAAACTTGTGTTCCCCAACGCATTTAAAAATCCCACTTGAATTTGAAGGACTTTGTGTGACTGACTGTGGTGTTTTTAAACTGTAGTCGAACTGTAGTAGTGTGTAAATCTGCCACAACGTGGAGTTGCCATCGTCTTTTGTTTACCAACTCATTTAAATACGTTTGTGCCTCAACGAGGACTGAAAAGTGATTTCCATTTACTTCGTCTGTTATAAATCAACTGTATTAGCTTCCTTCGAACTTCCTATTGCCATTGGGAGTATGTCTACTGCACTTGGCGGTGTAGTGCGTATCGATCTTCTTGTATATACATGTATATATTATATGAAACGCACCCGAACCTGGAAATCTACAGCAAATCGGGTTGGTCTCGTCACGTAATTTCTTACCTTGTTCTTAACCGCAATACGCTTGGCTATGAACTTCCACATACCCATGCTTATAGGAATAGTGCATCATGGGTAATACTGTATTGATCGTGATAAAACAAACATGGCTGCCGTAATGCCTCGTTCATCGCTCGTGTTTTTCTTCCTGTCTTGGAGTTCTCTGTTTTCTTTGATTTTTTTTTATTTCAATTAAACAGCCCTTTGGCTGTGGCCATGCATTTAGTCATTGTTGACTTGTTTTTCTCGTATTGGTTGATTGTCATAGTAACATATGCCAAGTACAATTAAACGTCCCGAGTTGAGCAGTAGTCATTTCTAAGGTTCAAAATAAACACCCATGAATATTTAATTTAGTTTAATTCCTTCAGTTAAAAATTGAGTTTCCATAATAAATAAATAATAACACATACCCTCATGTATACTTCAAGTTTTCATTAAAACAAGCTCTTATTTTCCCAGCATCGAGATGGCTCTGCCAACTCTTGTTGATGATTGTTACACATGCATATACTGTTTTGCTCTAATAGAATAATAGCATACACACCAACAATTGCATTTCTTGAATGCTTGATCGTTAAATTTGACATATTTTGACCATAGACAAATTTTCATTTGAGTGAGTATGCGCTACTAATAAAGCAAATACAACATACTGGTACTAATTGTGTTAAATTGAAATTGACTTGTTGCATCTTAACATACAAAGTTTTTCATTGAAATCATGGTCTTGTATACTACTTAAGTTACATAGTTACAATACTGTAGTCCTACTTTGGTCCATTTCAAAGAAACTCTTTCACAATATTATCTGACACATTTTGTAAAAAAAAAAAGGGTGCCTGTTCATTTTACAGTAACATTATCTCAATTACGTTTTGTTGTTGAAAATAGAAATATTTGTAATTTTATTCTTGCAGCTTATATGTTAGAAGTTGATCCCGACATCAGACCTGATATTTTTCAGGTATCTTACATTTCATTCAAGATGGTACGAAAAGAAACTCCAATACCCAATTTACATGTAAGTATATTCCCAGCCTGTACAACATAGACACAATTCAATATGTATAAGTTATTCTCAAGATAGTGTCATCGGATGGCTATATAAACACAAAATTTGGGCACTATGCTCATTTCAGTAAAATTAAAAAAATGCTCTACTGCTTATTATTGCTTCTATAAAGATATAATAAATAAGCACCATGTTCCATTCTTTATGAAATCAATCATAACAAATATTATCGATTTGTTCTTTTGTAGAATTCTCCATCACCTATTTTGGACAAACTACCAGAAGCATTGACAGAGTCTGAATTCCGACATCAGCAGCAAAAACAAAGAGAAAAAGCCAGGTATATGATAGCTAAATTAGGGATTTTGTTGTTTGACTGATTGAATTATTGAATCCCAAGATTTTCATGTTCAAGTGGATTTTTTTTTGTAATTCAGTACTACCAGGAGTTTATTACCTTACAAAATTTTTAATACATTTCTATTTTCTATCAGAGCCTCAATAACAGCTGTTGATACTAGTACGTCAGTTACTCCCAGACAAAGACCCAAAGTTGGTCAGGTAAATGTGACTCCGAAAAGCACAAAGACAATACATCCGCCTACTACTACAACAGTTACACCAGTCAATAGGCCTAAACCAGTGGCCAATCATACAAAAGTGACTCCAGTCCCAGGTATGTTGTGTGGCTCCAATGTGTTATGATTGACATGAAAAAAAAATAAATACACTATTATCTCATTGATTTTAAATCTGAAAGCACTCAGACAGGCTGTGCATTAGACAATATGTGATAAATTTAGGCACTCAAATGCATTTGCACTTCAATTCTGTGTATCAGTAAATTTATTTCTGTTTACTTATTATGTTCAGCTTGTGGTTGTTATCTTTCAAATATTGGTCATCGCAAAAACACAACATCATTAATATCGCCATTGGATTATGATCGGTTGGCATTGTGTAGTTGAATATCTATTTAAAGTTTGAAATCTAATCTGTGGACAGCACCGGATACATTAAATGGTCTTTCTAAAATTAGGGTATTAGTAAACAGATGGCATGTACATATCTGATTATATTATGTTTTATTTTTAGAAAAACAACTGCAGCAACAAGCTTTGATGCAGCAACATCAGGCTTTGTATAAGCAACAACAACAATTGCAACAACAGCAGTTACAGCAACAGCAACAAAAACAGCAACAGCAGCAGCAGTTACGACAACAGCAGCAAGCTATATATCAGCAGCAACAGCAACAACATTTTATGCAACAGCAGTATCAACAACAACAGCAGCAGCAGTACCTGCAGCAGCAACAATACCTTCAACAGCAACAGTACTTGCAGCAGCAACAACAATATATGCAACAAATGCAATACCATCAACAACAACAAGAGCAATTCAAAACGCCAATGTCCACTAAGCAGTATGCGATGATGGTGCAGCAGCAGCAACTTCAGCCACAGTCGCAGCAACAAACCTTGCTAGCCATGACACAACATCAATCAAGGCAAAATCCACCAACAGATACATTGGTGTCTGTCACTCCACCAGAATCACCAAGAATGCAACAACACAGAAACCAAGTCAATGCAGCAGCAGCTTCACAACAGAACGTAGCAGTGCAACGCTCTAGTGATTGTTTCCTGACAGCTGGTGTGAAGTCCTCTAGTTCAACTCCTGGCCAGTCACCTATAGCTAGTCCGCAACTGCCTGTGTCTGATATGTCCCAGTGGAATCCATTTGGCGATAAAGATAATTTCAGTGCAATGTCAGAAGATCATTTTGTTGATATGGAGTTTGACGCACTCCGGAAACCACAAAAAAGTATGTAGAGATTATTCTATATTATGACAACAAATATAAGTGACAATATTAGCAATTTCTTCATAAATTCTAAAACTATGTATGTGTAAAGTATGCTCAAGTCTTGTATGGTCGGAACCAATCAGAACTTGTTTTATGAATGCTTTCTAGAGCCTACACTTGGCATAGGTACAAGAAATGTGGTATGTGGCATGTAATCAGGCTAACTCTTATTGTTGAGGGGACTAACGTGTGTTATTGTAATAATAATAATTTAACATTTATTTAAACATGACTTAAGTATAGTACCTTTATTGTACGTAATTGTATATGCACAGGAGTAGCTAAACTTGACTGTTGGGAGGATATTTCATGTTTTAAAAAATAGGTTACTGTAAATACTCTAATTTACAGTACTATGAAGAGGTTAATTTTTAGCGGCTTAGCGGTGTTCTAAATTCGCGCGACAGAGGTTTTATAGTTTCTCTAACTAAGCAGCAAACATCTTGCCCATTTCCGTCCCATTTTGTAAACAATGCGTAAGTGGCAAAATAAATACAATGCAATCAACACAGTGTCAGACGATCGTATGCACTCAGACTATTGTGTGTCTCCTGTGTAGTAAACGTACATGAATCATCGTCTGCAATTTACCGACACAACAACATGGCTACCGACCTCATAAAATGATTGAAAAAAGCACCATTATCGTCACCAAGCAAACCAAACTTGCTCGATCCTAATAGCATCAACAACGTGAGATATGTACGACCTAGAAAAAGTGCCATATGCGAGTACCAAGTTGCGAGTCGCAAAAAGCAAAATATGCCATATGCTAGTGGTAAAAACGGCATATGCAAGTGGTAAAATGTATCATTTGCTAGTAGCAAAAAAGCCCAATGCGAGGGGTAATACAAAGGCCAGGAAAACTGGTGTATGCGAGGGGTGGAGTCATTTGCTTCGTTTGCTGATAATATAACATACGTTCAAATGTGTTTATCACATTAAAATCAAATATTTACCATGGTTATGAAATAATGCTGTTGAGGCTTTTACTTTAGGGGTGATTCAAATATAAAAATAATGGTAGCAAATAGGTGTCAACGCGATCTAGCCTACAATGTAGGTGTCAACCGCCGCACGCCGCCCGGTACTCAACATTACAGTCGACCAGTGTACGCAGATTACATTGCGAAGATCACAAATAAAAGTAGCTATAACTACTATTTCCAGTGCTTTTTGTTTATTATTCATTTAAGTGTTGATATCAAAAAGTTCGTTCAGTCGTTTGCATAGAATCGATGATTTGTGATCTTCGCAATTTCTAGATCGTACATACCTGACAACGTCGAACAGTGCAAACTGTCACCTGAAGTAATTGCCATTGTCAATGAAGAGATAACATCCGCTAGTCGGAAACGAAAACGCAGAAATTATCAGCACTATGGTGAAAACGTTTGAGCTAAAATCGATGAATGAATGCTGCTAGAAAATTCACTAAAGAGCTTGGTATGTTGGTGAGAGCATAGTCCGAGGAATGAAACAATCGTATCTCAACCGTGGACTGGGCAAAATCGCTGCTTCGTCGCATGGGTTATGTTAAGAGAAAAGATACGAAAGCTGTTCTAGCCGTTAAAGCAGCTTTCCTTGAACGGATAACCAAGACTGTTAAAGAACACAATGTTCCCCAAGAACTTGTTATAATCTGGGACCAGACTGGTGTTGCAATAATTCCAGCAGGCGAGTGGACAATGGAAGAACAAGGATCACGTCAAGTCACGATAGCAGGACTCGATGACAAGCGACAAATTACTGCATTGTTTGCATCAACTGCTTTTATCACCTCGGATATTATATCAGGGGAAAACCGATCGTTGTCACCCGGGCTACAATTTTCCCGATGCTTGGGATGTTTTCCATACAGAAAGTCATTGGTCAAATCATAATTCTATAATGCGAAACATCAATAACATTATTGTACCGTACGTGGATGCCACTAGAACGAGGCTTCAACTTCCAGAGACCCAGCAGGCAGTCGCCATATTTGATGTTTTTAAAGCACATCACGGCCAAGAACTGTTGAAGAAATTTAACGATGGTATTTGTGCCAGCATGCTGCACAGATCGTCTTCAGCCCCTTGACTTGTCTGTGAATAAGATCTTTGAGGATGCAATATAGCGAGAATTCCAGAATTGGTACGGCGAGCGTGTGTGTTCAGGAATGAATGACGGCGTTGATGACCCAACGCTGGATCTCCGGCTAAGTGAACGAAAACCCCTTCACACAAAATGGCTCGTTACTGCTGTACAGAGCATTTCCCAACGACACGATGAACTGAAAGAAGGATTTCTAAAAGCAGAGATTCTAGACAGTTTTGTTTAGGTCTTGTTTGTTTTACAATCAAACTCGTAATGCATTTTCTCTGTAAATTATATAACTTCATGTTGACTTCGGTGAAACTTGCAATCTATGTACTATTAATTGTGATGTGTAGTATTTATTATTTACAGTTGAGATATTTTTTCAATAAAAAAAGATTGATGCTTCAAAACACTTGTTCGTGTATCTTTTTTTGTCTGTGTTACAAGTTTGTGTGAAACCTCAATGGGTGAAACAAAATTCAAGATGGCCACCCGAAACACAAATTTGTGGTGTTTTTCGCGCACAAAACCCAGCGCGTAATGCGCGTCAATTTAACACCGCCGAACATTAACCACTCTACAGTAATCTAATTTTTCTAAGTGATTTTAATATATTAGTTTTAATTGTACTCTTAGGTGCTAATGACTATGAAAAACCTAAATTATATTCAAGCCAGGAGAGATTGCAATGTTTGAGTGTGATATTGATTGTGACACACTATGACACTTATTTAATAGAACATGATGGACCAAGAGATGCTGCTGATTTCATTTGATGTTTGACACTGTTGCATGTCCCTGTATTCTCTAGCTTTCACTAAACTAATTTTGCTGATATGAGGTTGTTAGGGTGCTTACTATGTATATTGAGGTTTGCATTTACCCTGTAGTGCAAGATAAGTATACATGTATAGATAATTAGGGAAAGGTCTGTTTTATTCATCTGTCAGTTTTACTCCCAAAAACATATGACTACTGCTTCTTGCTCAACTTACGACACCCTTCAGTACATGATACAATGTATACATGATTGTATGTATTATAAGGTTGTAATGAAGATACCTCAAAGTATGCACGAAGACAGTACAGCAGCAGTATCGACCAACGTGCAGTGGAGGTCGATGCGAGGATAATTGCCATTTTTGGCTTAAAATTTTAGTAAAATTGACTTTTAGCTTCTCTGAGGCATTTTAATTGGGAAATCATGCTGCAGTTTCTACTTTCTACAGGTGATGTTGGTTGTATTCAATCCAATGAGATTAGTGATACTGACAGCAGTTCTTCAATGAAATCTAATACCAGACCCAGAAGTGCAAGTACTGGTGAGATTTAGCTATCTTTTCTGCATGGTGCGCTTTTCATTTAAGGTAGTTAGTGTGCAAACAATAGCAACATTTTGATATTAATACAATTCACAATTTCATGAAAAGTATCTGTGGAGATTTAGGTAAATTGCTTTAAAACAGCTGTATATACCGGAGTAATTTCAACAGTTTTGACAGACTGAATAATGAATTTCTGTTGTAGATATTTTAGTGAATTAAATCTTTGAATCATGATGGTTTATTATGTTCTGCAGTTTAATCAATTCTTGAATAACGATATACACCAGTTTTTGAGCCATTGAAATTAGTAGTTTGGGAGGCATTCAGGAGTTGGGGTGTATCAGTAATAATTCTTTTTCGAGGTAGATTGAAATATTTCAGTGAGTTACCATCTTAGTTGATGGTAGCATGATTTAAAAAAAAAAAAAACACACAAACAGACTTCATGTGTAATTAGTTTTATTTCTCTTCAATAAGAAGAAACATCCAGGTGGATTGGATGTCATCCGATCCATTTTCTGCCAGGTAGTTGAATTGCTTGGTGGAGAAAAATTATTTTATTTTTGGTTCAACTATTAGAGGGGTTTAAATAATAGATGTATTTCATAATGCATATTAGTGAAAGTTACTCCTTTATCAATGATATGATAGGGTATATAGCAGTGACAATTTCATGCGAAAATCTGTCTACAATTAATTATGAGAATTAATTATTTAGGCTGACTGTAATATGCACAAAGTGTTATTTAAGACGTCATGAGTAATTTTTCCACATTCTAATTAGGTTATTTCTGTCTAAATTATATAAATATATATATATTGTTAATCTGTATCTATCTTCCCAGCCTATACAGTGATCTTCCTACCATGTGGTTTGATCTGCCCCACCTATGTAATGATATCCCTATGCTATGCTATGCTATGGTCTGCCCACCCTTACATGTACACGGCAAGCTAATAGTTTAACCATCTTCTTCATCCTTGATGTATCCAATATGTTAAAAAAATTACAATATTTTTACTTTTGTTTAGCATTCTACCTTGACTGTACAATAAAGGATATGTTGTCTTTCAGGTTCCAAACCTAACATCAAAGCAACTGTTGTCAACTCAAGTGAGGATTTATTTGGAGCAGCACCATTTGTTGAATTACACCAAGATACATACCATTCTGACTTTGGATCTGGATCTGGACCGGATGAATTTGGATTAACTCCATTTGTTCTTGATACCCCAAAAGAACAACCTTCTGTCCCGGGTGCAAGAAGTGATCAACCATCTGCATTTACACGAGTTAGTGGAAGATCCCAATTAGCTGTAGATGAGTTTGGAAACAAGGATCCTGAAGCTGTCGGAAGTGAACAGTTTTCATACCTTGGTTTTGATGATGAAACTCTGGATGTGAAAAGACGTGTACGTTATATGATGAGCGATAATCAACAGCAATATGTAAATGAGGGTGAGGAGTCTGATTTTAGTGAAGATGGACGAAGTAGTGCTTCTGATATAGAAAAAGAATTTCATCCTTTAGAGGATGATGTTGAAGAATTGTTATCATCCAGTGTTTCTCAGGATGGTTTCACTCCTGCTGGACATCACAAATCTACTAGTGATGATGATCCATTCAAACATGCGCCATTCCATCTAAAGAAACCACAGCATGGTATAACTGCAAATAATGAATCGGCCACCAGTTGTACCTTAACTCCTCCTATGTCTCCACCACTGAATAAGGATGGTGATGTGGATGTTTTTGGAGCTGCACCTTTTAGTGCCAAGCAGAACAAAAAACAGAACCAAAGGCTTTCCAGTTCAGACAGTTCTGATGTCTTCACTCAAGCACCATTCCCAGGAAAGAGTGCATCCAAATCTAAAAAGAAAACAGTTTGTAAGCAATCACATCATTTACAACAAGCACAAGCGATGGTCGTTGCAAATCCAACACCTCCAATATCACCAACTGAGGTTAACTTGTATGGTGCTCAAGCACAACCACAAGATCCAAGTGGTGCCAACAAAGAAGATCTATTTGGTATTTCATTCTCTGCTGATAAATCTGGAAAAGAATTGAAGCAAGCACATAAAGAATCAGGTTCGTCTAACCTAACACTAGAACAGGTATTGCTTCCCAAATGAAATATGTGTAAAGTTAAGTGTATTAGCTTTAGATCCTATAATTATTTGTGCCAGTGTGTTTCATGTTAAATGTCTATCGACAAGATTAAATAATGGCATCACTCCCCTCCATTTTAATCTACAAGCTAGTGCCAATGCCAACCACATCAAAGATGGAAGGGAAAGGTATATTAAGGGAAAAAATTTTGTCCGTCGTTGTTGTTGTCGTCGTTAATAATTGTTATTGTGTGGAAAATAACTTTACGAATTCTATTCCAAACTTCATCAAACTTGGTCACCTTATTCATCAGTATAAAGTCTTCCCTGAGTTTGAACAACAGATGTCCTGTATGAAAAGATCATGCAAAAATTGAAAAAATCTGATAACATATTTTGACTGTTTCTACTTGACTGATCACTGGTGATATGCATCAGAGGTCACTGATCTCAGTGGAAATATGCATTGTTGTATGTGTTCAATGAAGCAAATGATTTATCTTGTAATAATGTCTTTGGGAATGTATCTCCCAAATCCCATGGGAATACTAGACTGGGTTTCAAAACAAACTCATGGAGAGATTTTTTGCACAGTCTGATACACATTTGCAAACTTTGATCAAGTTCTGAAGCTAATAGAAAATCTGTTTAGTTCAAAGTTATCAAATCAAAAACAATTCATAAAAAATTCATATAAAGCAAAAGATTTCATCCACATTTGGAAAAGAAAATTGTACTAAAATATATGTATTCTGTATTTGACAAACAGTTCATTCGACAAATGAAAATTCACAGGAATTTGTTACAGCTATTGGAACAGAATGATAAAGCCTTTATAATAGTAATTTAAAAACGCACTTCAAAAACAAAGATTGCAGTGTTTGAAGATGTAGATTCCCAGGAGGCAACAGTACTGTTGACTTCTCTCTCCACTGGACACCAACTAACTATTTAAGTTGATTTGCATACAAAGCAGAGCTTGCAACTTGATAGCTGTTCATAGAGGGTGTTTTTTTTTTACTTTTCATATAATACAGTAGTCACACAATGAATATAATAAGGCAGTTCATATTTGTCTCAGTGAATCATGATTTTTGAGAGACACCTGTACAAAATACTTGGACAAAAGCCAGCTAAGATTTTCTGTTATCTTGCATATTTTATGAATCTATTCACGTCTAAATGCAGCACTTTTTTTCTGTGATGAGGCATTTGTTTTTATACTAAAATATCTGAATTACTTCAAATAAAGCTTGAAATTATGTCCCTTAAAATAATTAAACAAATTAGTTACAATGTTTTTGTAAGATATTCACATCTATCAAGGACATTCGATAAGACTGATTTCCCACTATTGGTTCAACCCCAAAACTTGTTTGTATTCAAAATTAATTATGACAATGCATATTTATATTGAAACAAAATATGATAAAGGGAATAATATTATATAACAAAGGGCAAGGTCACCAGAGTTCAACTATGTTTATAGTTCATGCATTGTCAATTGTTTAGTTGCTTGTAATTTCTTAGACACTTGCAAATAACTGATACAATTCAATGTCTACCATGTTTGTTTACTTGACAAATAAACACCATACTCTTCAAAAGAAATATTGCCCCAATTTGGCCTGAATTATTACTTTTACAGTAAGCAACTTCCCCTCCGCCCCCCAAAAAACTCTCTGGACAGTTCGGCCCCTCATGATAGACTTAATTGGTTTGCTAAAGGTTTATATTGTAGTGTCAGATTACCATGAACACTGGAGCTGACTACTTTGACTACCTTGAAGGTTGTCTCCTTCCCTTTTCCTGATAGCAGATGACTGTTGAACTTGAAAATGTTTATTGCAGTCAGTTTAATCTGAGACAACCAATAAACAGACTGCAACGCCTATTGTAAAAGGTGTTATTCGGCTTAATTCCATATGCTACATGTGCCTCACTCAGGTGTATACATAAATACCGTCAAAGTTTACCGAACACTTGATATTCTGCACACTTTGCACTTCTTCAGAAAGTGCATATTTCTTTGTAAAACAGATCCGGACATTTTTAAAACAATGGGAGATGCGTTCTGGACATTTTGACCTTTGCATTTGTGTAAAATTGTTAAGAATCGACCAAGATTTAGGAGAGTTACAAGTAACTGAATGTCTTAATTAGTATATACCTCAAATAGTTTGTGAATATATAATGAGCAACTTTGAAATGATATTTCTTGCTAATTTGAATTTTGCGGAAGGTTTTCGTAATTTTTCGAGAAGGACATATTGCAGCATTTTGAGTGATCATACCACTTTGTGTGTTAACAGTTTTGTTTTTGTGTTCAGGGGTGCCGATACATGGGATAGCTGGTGTCATATACATGATATCTCTTACCGTATCAGTGTAATCCGGTTAGCGGTGGAAACTGGGGAGGGGGGTTATTTTTGTTGCATTTGACTTCATAGTACGCTATATACACATTGTTCATAACTACCGTCCTCAGATTCGCTAAATTCTTCCATAAATGCCATTAAGAATTACCTCTTATTACCTCCATGGTGTGGTTCGATCACTAACCATTACTGTCATCTGTGTTACTACCTGTGTTTATGTCTCGCGATAGTTGGTTGTAATATGATTAGATCTCGCGTTATTTGTGAGATCTAATGATAATCTTGTTGCTCAGCAACATTTACTAGATATGATAGGAGCTGATAACCTAAACAAACATGGCACACATTACTTCAGTATAAAACGCCAAGTTGCCAGTCTGTTTATTGGTTGTTTGAGGTTTAATCAATTTACATGTATACCAATCTTGCTCATGTGACCCACTGTTAATAATAATAATAATATTTATTAAGCACTCGGAACAGCAACAAAATAAAAGAAGAAAAGAAAAAAATCATACATATTTGAAAC